TTCTGTAATTAAAGGTATAGGGTATGCATTTTTGATAGTGATTTTGTTTAGACCTCTATAATCGATGCACGGTCTTAAATCACCCTCTTTCTTAGATACGAAGAAAAACCCTGCTCCAGCCGGAGAAGAGGATCTCCTAATGAACCCCTTTTCTAGCGATTCTTTAACATACTCCTCCATGATACGGTTTTCTTGAATAGATAAAGGGTACACCCTGCCCTTTGGAGGTATAGTGCCAGGCAATAAATCGATAGCACAATCATAGGATCTGTGAGGCGGTAATTTATCAGCTTCCCTTTTATCGAATACAGTTTTGAGAAATAAGTACTGAGGAGGTATAACAGTAGACAAAGGAGGAGTAGTAGGAACATTAATGGTATTTAAAGGGGTGACTTCAATCATACAAGAGTCGTGGCAGGTTTTGCCCCATGATTTTAATTGTCCCAATTCCCAGTCGAAAATGGGATTGTGAGAACATAACCATGGGTACCCTAACACGATATGAGAAGAGGGAGAGGTGATTACCTGAAATCGAATGGTCTCAAAGTGTACCCCTGTGTACATGAATAACGGTACAGTTTCATGGGTAACGACTGGAGTATTTAAAGGTCTACCATCTATGGCCTCAATGGCCAAGGGTATCTCTCTCTCTCTCTGACGGGAATGTTATTTTTTGTAACAAACCCAGAGTCAATGAAGTTCTCAGCAGCCCCGGAATCAACCAAGGCTAGTATGTTTTCAGCTATACAACTCTCTCCCGTATGAAGGGAAACAGGCAGTGGTGTATCCTGGTTTTGTGCTGCCCTAGGCAGGACAAAACTCAGGCGCCCCCCTCCCAGCCACCCCCACCCAACCCTTCCCCCGCCCCACCTTCTAAATACACACACACACAGTCAGACACAGGACACAAACACACACACACACACAGTCAGACATACACAGACAGTCAGACAAACACACAAGCACACACACAGTCAGACACACACACACAGTCAGACACAAACACAAACACACACAGACACACACAGTCACATACACACACACAGTCAGACACAAACACACACACACAGTCAGACACACAAACACACACACACACAGTCAGACACATACACAGACACACACACACACACAGTCAGACACATACACAGACACAAACACACACACACACTCACAAACACACACAGTCAGACACAAACACACACACACATTAACTTTTTTTTAAATTTAAATCCCCCCCCAACCTCCTTACCTTTGGGAGTGCTGGGGGGGGGGGTCTCTCTCCCTGGTGGTCCAGTGTCTGCAGGGCGGGCGGCGCTGGCAGGCGGCCGGCGAGGGAGCACTTCCCATGAGTTGACTGCTCAGCTCCCTCGCGCGTCGGCTGCAGAGTGAGGCTGGGAACCGGAAGATGACGTCATCTTCCGGCTCCCAGCCTCACTTTGCGGTGCGCGAGGGAGCTGAGCAGTCAGCTCATGGGAAGTGCTCCCTCGCCGGCCGCCCGGGATGTCAGTTAGCCGCAAGGCTAACAAGGCATCTGCCCTGGGCATTTGGGGGGCGGCGTTTTTTGCCGCCCCCTGAAAAATGCCGCCCAAGGCAAATGCCTTGTTTGCCTCGCGGCTAATACGTCCCTGGAAACAGGGAGAAGCAAACGGTTAGAAGGCAATTTAGGAGACTTAGATATCACACCCAAGGCCAGTCCCCTATAAGGTCCTAGGTGCGAGAGTTTTCCGGAAGCAAAGGACATTCTTTTACCCTATGGTCTCGCCTACCACAGTATAGGCAGAGTCCGTTCCTTCTTCTAAGTAATTTTTCAGTATCCGAGAGTTTGGCAACCCCTAATTGCATGGGTTCCTTACTTTAACACTCTCAGGTTTATCAACTCTGGGGTTAGTAGGTGTGACCAAACGTCTATTCCTGTTCTCAGTATAGAGCCTGTCACGAATCCTATTATCTATATCAATGAGGTAGTCAATAAGGTCCTCTAATGGAATAGGAAGCTCCCTTGCCGCTACCTCATCTAATATAGTGTCAGATAAACCTTCCATGAACGCAGTAGTTAACCCATTATTGGTCCAATCTACCTGCGAAGCAAGGGTACGAAACTGAATAGCATAATCAGCCACAGACCTAAAACTCTGTTTGTAGCGGATGGCACTGGGCTGTCCTGCAAATGTCTGTGAAATAATTGCATTTGTGTGATCTGTTAGTTTCCTATGTGTTTTAAAGCCTTGTATTCTTGTGATTGTTCGGTAGTTTCGTTCCCTTAGTTTATTCGAATGAAACTACCGAACAACCAGACCTCCCCTGTGTGAAGTGTGTCCTCAATTACCCGTTGCAACATTGTTGCGAACGGGTAATTGAACAGTAAGTAGCCGTCCTTTGTTCTCGGGGGTGGCCGCCATTCGACAAACGAACACGTGGCGGCGGCCATTTTAAAACTCCCGAACAGCGGTGTTTAGCCGTCGAGTGTCTGGAACTAAAATCGGACACTCGAGTAGGCGAACACCGCTGAGACCTCCACAGCCCTGGTCCGTTCGGTTCCAAACTACCGAACGGCCCCTCGTTCGGTAGATAGAGAATACCGAACGAGGGGATTCAGGCGAACCCTCCCTAGCCTCTATAGCTAGAGGTTTTCGTGTATTTTATTCCCTTATGCCAGGACCGACCGCAGGGCCCATTCACATGGAACCGAATTCGGCTATCTCAGTTCGTGCGGTCGGTCATTTTATTCCCTCCATACTTTTCCCGAACCCCTGGTCTGATCTGGCTGGTTTTTGGATATGTTGTTCACCCAGATCAGGGCTACCAGGGGATGTAGGATTTAAAGAGGTACCCCTACGTTTAGGGGTACATCCAGAAACGGGGGGAATTGGTGTACTGGATAAGGGGATTATGATGCTGGCTGAGGGGAGGAGATGTGTGGGAGGTTACCAGGACAGGATTGGCTACTGTAATAATTACTGTAAATCCCTCCCTTGCATGGGAGCATGCTTTATAAGGAGACTGTGATTAAAGGCTTGTCAGTTCTGCTCCTGAAACTGTGTGTCGTCCAGTTATTGGGATTGCTGTGGGGAGATTGCTGTTATTTTACCTGCTGGAAACTTTGCCTATGGATTTATTATTTACTTGTTCCTGAGCTTCACTTGGATTATAAGCGGAGACAACCTGGGGAATATTGCATCTCCGCTACACTGTTTAATTCTCATTAATGCTCTTGCGGCATTCTTTGACCTTTTTGTTGTGTCAAAAGTTCTACGAAAAGCCGTAAGAAAGCTATTGAAATTATGCACCATAGGTCCATTGGCCTCCCAAATAAGATTTGCCCACTCAAGTGCTTTGTCAGTAAGTTGATGCATCAAAAACCCCACTTTAGACCTATCAGTGGGAAAGGAATGTGGATACATCTCAAGGTGGAATTCTATTTGATTAATAAAACCTCTGCATGTCTTAGCTTCCCCTCCATACCTAGGAGGGGGTGTTAAATGGGGCGAAGTATTAGGTGAATTGGATACTTCAGAAAGAAGAGGTGTAGGAGGGTTAGGTGTGGTTGCAGGAATAGTTCTAGACAAGAGCGTCTCGATAGCCTGTGCTATCTGATCCATACGGTGATCCTGCTCTACAAACCTTGCCTCGTGAGAAGCCATTTGCTGAGCCAAATCTGCGGGGTCCATGGCCCCTATCGTAATGTAACGAGAATATACCCCAACACGCAGGATTCAGCTAAACAGAAGACAACACAGAGGAGAGATACGTCTACCGGACCTTAGAATAGCCGGACTCGACGTATATGAGAGGAGACAGAGTCAGGAACGATCCGAAGTCAAGGGCACAGAGAGACAGCGTAAACTAGGACTAGCCGGGGTCTGGTACACAGTAAACAGCAAGCCGACAACCAGAACAGATAAGGATAAAGAGAAAACGTAGTCAGAAACAAAGCCAAAGTCAATACGAAGAAAACACAACTGAACACAACAAGCGCTAAAGGGAACTGAAACAGAAACCACGATAGGGCAGGGAGTAAAGGGAGAGGTAAGTTTAAATAGCTTCTAAACTAATGTGATTGGCTCCTGTCATATCCACACCCCCAAAAGGTAAGTGTATGGGGAGTGTGGCATGACAGGGGCCAATGGGAGCCTTTTAACAATTTAGGCTCCCGCTGTCTCTTTAAGAGCGCGCCCGAGACTCGCGGCGCGCTCTTAGATTCAGGCGGGACACGTGACCGCTTCTCGCTTCTCGCGGTCACTGCCCGCCTTCCTATTGAAGCCGTCGGATGAGCCGCGTGCGGCTCGTGCAGCAGCAGGACCGCGCGCGGCTCGAAGAGAGGACCGTGGCCGGCCCCTGGATAAGGTAAGTAACGCTACAGGGGGGAGGTAAACATCCAGGTTTTTTCAAGTGATTTGTGTATGAACAATGCTGTTGGTGGTGGTCTTGGTTTTTCGGTGGGGTGAGTGGACCAGGAGGTGTTGTTGAGCCCAGGGTTCGCTGTTATATCTCTATCACTTGTGGTGTTACATGTGGGGTAGTTGATTGCACTCTGGGGGTTATTGCAGCTGTAGCTGGGGTTGTTCCAGTCGGGGTTATGTAGCTTCGTGGGTGTACGATGAGTCCCCAGTATCTTGGTGGTAGTCAGGGGTACATTGTCTGTGGTGTCCGTTGACCCTTTGTGGATCGCTATTGTTTCATGGGTGTGGTGGAGTGTCTGTGCCCGGTGGTGGTGTGGCCAGTGAGGTAGGTTTGTAGGGAAGGCGCTATTGGAGGTGTAATGCCAGTTGAGCTGCCCGCCTTTTTGTCGTAGGTGTGTAGAGCGGAGGGGGCATCATTGGGTAATGTCATGCCAAAAGCATGAGTTGGTGTTTGATGTGTGTTTATATATGTTAAGAGTTGTTTTTTTTGTAAACCTTGGGATGACGTTTATTATGGTCTTTGATCTGGCACCAGGCCTAGACCATAAAACATCTAGATAGCCATCACCAGAGCTGGACACAAGGAATTTCATAGAGTGGGCAATAGACTGCCAGACCAGCCCCCTCTGATCCCCCCCCCAGGGGTCTGCCCACTGAGAAACAACTAGTTTAGCTTTATGAGGTTGTTGGACTATCCAGTGAGGTCAGTTATTCATTTTTCTTTTTGTCAGTAACTTCTAGGAGACCTATACCATCTAAGACTCCCACAAGAATTCTATATAGGGTAAATATATGTAAGGAATTTCTTGTGTTTTCTCCTATTTTATTTTATGTACTGTTTTGCAATTTGTTATCTGTATGTCATTTATTTCTGTATTTTGTACTCAGCACTGTGAATCCTTTTTGTCAGATTAAATGTTTACTTAATCAGCTTGTGTCTCTGTTCTCTATGAGCTTCACTCTCCAGAGGAAAGCTCAGGTAAACACGTTACCAAAAAGGGTTAACTGTATATGTTTTATCAGTAAAAGTAGAACTGTGATACTATAATTCTCCTGTGTGTGGGGTAACCTAAGACGCCCGGGTTTAAAAGTCTTGGTGGTGGCAGTAGTACTAAGGGGGATAGTGTAGAAGGGATTGCAGGGGTTAATTGAGTGGTTGCTGGGACTAGCAACAGGTAACCAGGGGTCTGGTGTCATTAACCCTGTCACTTCCACACTCTCCCCACTGTCTCGGCTGGGCCTATAGCCCACGCACGTGACAAACTGGCGGCAGCTAGTGGGATATATTTAGAGATTTTTAGTGCTTGCTAGATTTTACCTGTAAAGGGGGTCTTAGCACTAAAAGAAATTGCATACTTGTTTTTGTGTAATTTCCAAAGACCAAGCTCAGTGCTGATTTAAAATACATACAAAGTGCAAAACAGTTCTCCCCTCCCATCTTTTGTTTTTCTTTCTCTATCCTATTTGTGAATATGGAGGCCTATCGCAAACAATCAAAAGAGGCCTTGGAATTGTTGTGCCAAGAAAAGAATTTACCAACTTTTGGCAAAAATAAGGCACAACTTATTGCTGACCTTGTGGAGGCTGACAGACATATTTTCCAGCCAGAGACGGACACTGAAAGGGTTACCGAGCTCCCTACTACTGCAGGAGTGTTGCTTACTGAAATGCCTGGTGGTTGTACCCCTCAAAACATTAAGGACATTTGCTCAACTGATTTATTTCGGCAACTGATGGCTGCAAATCCTCAGGAGGCCCTGCATGTGATGATCCAACAGCAGGCTGCAGAAAGGGAATCTGCAGAAAGGGAGGCACAAAGGAGACATGAGCTGGAACTTGCTAAACTGCAATTTACCCTTCAGTCCTCACTGAACAGCAATGCATCAGAGTCCAGAACACGTAGGCTCCGTAAGGATGATTTTCCTTCCCTCGAAGAAGGGACAGATTTGGATGTATTCTTAAAAAGTTTTGAGAAAGTATGCAGGCAGCATCAACTACCCTCAGACCAGTGGGGCAGATATTTAACTCCACAACTGAAAGGGAAAGCCTTGGATGTGTTTGTGTCCCTTCCCCCAGAGACTGATAACAACTATGAGGCAATCAAATCTGCATTGCAAAAACTTTTAACCTTACTCCTGAGTCTTACAGGAAAAAGTTTAGGAGTATGCAGCAATGCCCATCATCCAGCTGCATTCTATATATTGCACAATTAGAAACCACGTTCCGGCAATGGGTAACAGGAGTACAAGCTACTACCTATGAAGCCCTTAATGGTCCTGGAGCAGTTCTTGCAGACCCGGAGCCCTAATGTACGAGAGTGGATTTTGGAAAGAAAGCCAAAAAATGCTAGGGCTGCTGCAGAACTGGCAGATGACTATGCCGACATCCATGCACCCACATCCAGGCGTGGACTTGTGTCAGCTGCTACTTCGACCTGGAGAGAAGCTACAGTTCAAACACCACCTGTAAGATCTGCAGTGAGAACTTCACCGCTGACTGCCAGCGTAGCCGGGGCTATGTCAAGTGAGTCAGATGCCCGCCATTGTTTTCGATGCAACCATATTGGTCATCTGAGCAGGACTTGCCCCACTAGGAATATGCCCTCACCAGTCCGTGGAGGGGCACCATCAGTATTGCTTGTGGGTGGGTCCGTGGGGAAACAAGAGGATAACCTGCAGAGTGTAATTGTGGGTGACCGAGTGACCATGGGACTGAGAGATTCTGGAGCTTCCTTCACCCTGGTGCGACCTGAAGTGGTGAATACGGAGGACATAATCCCTGGAAGAACCATGTCCATCAAAGGAATTGGGGGTGTATGCCCCGCTGTGCCCTTGGCACGTGTGTACCTTGATTGGGGTGCGGGCAAAGGTTTGCGGGAAGTGGGGATTTCAGAGGATATCCCTGTTAATGTTCTGTTGGGGAATGATTTGGGCAGGATGCTCTGTCACTATGCTCCAGCGGACACTGTTTGTGAGCCAGAAGGGCTGACTGCTCCACCTAAGGTATTGTGTGAAACTTTGGGAGACATTGTGAAGTGTGATTGCTGGGAGGGAGAGCAGGGTGTGGATAAAGATCTACCTGTAACTGAACCAGTGATGTCTACCAAATGTGAGATAGGGGTAAGTAGTGATGTGCCTGTATTAAAATACTGTGAGGCTGGGATGTCAGAGAGTAAGGGAGAGGAGGAAGGTGAGAGCCAGGGTAACAAGTCAGCAGTGGTAACAAGTCAGCAGTGGGTCACGGCTGCAGAGTCTGAGGGGCTATGTGAGATTGCGAGAGGATGGCCTGCCTTGGAGAAGAAATTATGCGAGTGTGTGCAAAATTCTGTATCTAATCAAGGGGGGTCAAATGTGTCCTGTGAAAATGTATGGGAAAAGCCTTCCAGCGAGAGGGGCCTGAATGAATATATGAACCAATATGTGCCTGAAGCAGATGTATGTGATGTGGTGGGTGAAAATGTGAAGGGACAGCAAGGCTATGAGGGAGGACAGAGGGTGTGTGAGCTTTACTCTGCACCAGACTTAGCCAGTTTCCAAAGTTCGGTATGTGTGATGACCCGGAGTGAAAGTGAGGGGCACAGACAGACTCAGCTTGTGGGTCCAGGAAGGATGGCTGCAGGGAAACATACTGTTGGAGGAACCAGGAACCTTGTCAGTTTATCACAACTCACGCATACACCTAAGCAACTTTCTGATTGTGAACCAAAGGTTCAGAGTCTGATAGTGCAACAAGCCCAGCAGACAGACCGCAAAATAAAAGATATGATGGGTGTTGATACAGTGCATCTATCCTGGGGGTGTTCTCTGTCTGCTTTTTTGTGTGCTTACCGGGGAGTGCTGCAGAAATCCATTGGTTTCTTCCCCTTACAGCTACTACATGAGCGCAGTGGGTGTGGTTTAAGGGATGTTACCAGAGATCGATGGGAAATTGAAACAGGCAAATCAGGCATGTTTGTTGAGGGTGTAGCTGTGGTATGGACTGATCACAACCTGCTGCAGGTGACCGGTAACACTGATAAACTGCTCCATTGGAGCCCTATCCTCCAACAGTATAATTTCACTGCCCAGCAAAAAAAAAAAAAGGCAGCTTGCATGGGAATACAGATGGCCTGTCTCGGCAACTAGAGGGTTAATGGTAGACAGATAAATCAGCCTGTGGCTGAATTTTTCTGTCCACCATCTTAAGGGGGAGGTGTCATGCCAAAAGCATGAGTTGGTGTTTGATGTGTGTTTATATATGTTAAGAGTTGTTTTTTTGTAAACCTTGGGATGATGACATTTATTGTGGTCTTTGATCTTGCACCAGGCCTAGACCATAAAACATCTAGATAGCCATCACCAGAGCTGGACACAAGGAATTTCATAGAGTGGGCAATAGACTGCCAGACCAGCCCCCTCTGATCCCCCCCCCCAGGGGTCTGCCCACTGAGAAACAACTAGTTTAGCTTTATGAGGTTGTTGGACTATCCAGTGAGGTCAGTTATTCATTTTTCTTTTTGTCAGTAACTTCTAGGAGACCTATACCATCTAAGACTCCCACAAGAATTCTATATGGGGTAAATATATGTAAGGAATTTCTTGTGTTTTCTCCTATTTTATTTTATGTACTGTTTTGCAATTTGTTATCTGTATGTCATTTATTTCTGTATTTTGTACTCAGCACTGTGAATCCTTTTGTCAGATTAAATGTTTACTTAATCAGCTTGTGTCTCTGTTCTCTATGAGCTTCACTCTCCAGAGGAAAGCTCAGGTAAACACGTTACCAAAAAGGGTTAACTGTATATGTTTTATCAGTAAAAGTAGAACTGTGATACTATAATTCTCCTATGTGTGGGGTAACCTAAGACGCCCGGGTTTAAAAGTCTTGGTGGTGGCAGTAGTACTAAGGGGGATAGTGTAGAAGGGATTGCAGGGGTTAATTGAGTGGTTGCTGGGACTAGCAACAGGTAACCAGGGGTCTGGTGTCATTAACCCTGTCACTTCCACACTCTCCCCACTGTCTCGGCTGGGCCTATAGCCCACGCTCGTGACAGGTAAGCTGTCAGTTCTTGTGCCGGGGGTGTGGTCGTAGCTAGGGGGTGGGGCCCATGTTAGGGTCCAGGCCATAGGATACCAGGTTGGGTCCCATAATGTCGTTGGGGGATGTGCTTTGAGGTGTTAGGGGTGGGCTGATGCCTATCTATCCCTGTCCCACTATATGGGTTTCGTTCGTCCCTACTTTCCCAGGTGGTCGCATTGTGGAGAGCATGAATTTGGAGCAGAACACAAGTTAAACATGAAAACATATTTCAACCAGTAAATCAATCAAGTCTGGTTCCATTGATGGTCAGGCTCCGCCTCCAAGTGGGCAGCAGCAAAAAATTTAATTGCTCGAAGATGGAAAACCCTACGTGGCAATCCCTAAAACAGCAAATAAATTTCAAATTACAAATGGAAAAAGGTCTAATACAAGGAAAAAATTATTTTAGCACAAGATGTGTGCAAACACTTGAAAAGTCAGGTCTTGGGCTAATAGAACACCACTGCAAGATATGGGGTGATAACATTTTTTCCCCCAAAGCCTAAATAATATTTATTTATACTAAGCTCCCAAAGCTAATTTAAATGAATTAGGATAAATAAAAATAATTCCAACATGACATCACCCACTATTGATTTATTGTACTATTGTATTGTATGGTATTGTATTGTCCTGTTGGTATGGATTATTGTTTGTTTGACATGTGATTTTTTTTAAGATTGTATGTTTTTGATATACATAAATAAAGAAAGAGAAATTGGAAAATAAATTGCGGTGGAACAAACCTATAGCCATGGGCACTTGCACCCCCTGGATTTTTTAACAAGCCCCCTCCCCACAGGCAATTTATCTTTGTGACAGCTCAGTCTGAGAGAAAGAAGGAGGGATGTGCTGGGGGCTGGAGGGAGGTGAGCATGTGTATATGTGTCCGTGAGTTTGTCTGTAGTGAGCATGCGTGTCAGCGAGCTTTTCTGTAGTGAGCACGTGTGTGTATCAGTGAGTTTGTAGTGACCATGTATATATTAGTGAGCTTTTCTGTAGTGAACTTTGTCTGCAGTGAGCATGTGTTTGTGCTACTAAGCTTGTCTGTAGTAAATTTGTGTTTGTATACCAATGAGTTTGTCTGTAGTAACCTTGTGTGAGTGTCAGAGTTTGTACTAAATTTCTGTGAGTACCAGTAAGCTTGTCTGTATAGGTCAGTGAGATTGTCTGTGAGTGAGACTATTTGTGTGTATCAGTGAGCTTGTATTTTTATGTCTATGAGATTATCTGTCTGTGAGCCTGTGTATCAATGAGTTTGTGTCAGTGAGATTGTCTGTGTCTGCCTGTGAGTATGCTTACTGTCTAATTTTTTTACACTTATAGACCCAATATTTCGAATTAGAAAAAGATACATACCAACAGTATATATATATATATAGAAAAAATAAAAAGATCTGGCACTCTACCTTGAAAATGCAAAAATGATAATAGTTACCATGGTGCTGCACAGCATTATATGTATCAAAATAAAGGATGATAGCACTTGTTGCATTTTCAAATGGTGTATAGTATAATGATTTAGCAAATGGTCACTATAATACACCTTTTGAAAATCCAACAAGTGTGCGAGAGAGAGAGAGAGAGAGAGAGAGAGAGAGAGAGAGAGAGAGAGAGAGAGAGAGAGAAAGGAGTGTGTGTGTATACACACTTAAATGTGTTAAAATTCACATGACCGTCACAGGAGGTCATTTATTAAACTGCAATTTACCAAAATACTAAAATATCTAAATAGTAAAATTTAGGTTGTACTATCTTTCTCGAATAATTCTGCAACAGTTATAGGTTAAACTTGGCTTATTTAACCCTCTTTTCAAATTTAGATTTAAATTCGCTGCTTTTGACAGATTGTTGAACAAACCCCAAAGTAAGTAGACGGCTAGTTTAGGCTGGAATATTGATAGTGGTGCATTCGCATTAATTGCAATATAAGGCATTTTCATAGAACTATTTGCTTTAACACGCCTTAATCTTTGAGCTCAGCTCTTTTCCGTTTTGCATTTCCTTCTGTGTCACAATTCAATTTATGAATTCCCTCCCTCTTCCAAGTTTACACATTCCTTGTCTTTCACTATACGGTTACGCCCAGAGTCATAAAGACTTTAAGAAACTGAGAGGATAGGACAAATTGAGCACAACATAGAAGAAGATTTTCAGGCAGCCAAAACAACAGAGAGTGAGGTATGTGTAAAGTATGCAACGCTACGATTATTTAACACGATATGTTTTCAATATACTATTTAAAATTGTTCGGATTTGTTAATATCTATATTGCGTAGTTAACTAGTTGATTACCTTATAAACTTGCTCCCTATTTGTGAGACGATATCTAAAGAACCTGATTCGTTTCATACCTTTCTACATATCGTCGGAAATTAAAATGTAAAGACAAAGTTGGTGCCAGATAAATGATAGCATGTAGCATACTCTGGAACACGATTAGAAAAGCATGGTTCTTCCTTTTTATTTGGACACTCGAATTGGTTAATTGTGTTTTTGCTCTGGTCTGAAAAAATACTTCAGGGTTGCCAATATGCAAACATGTTACTGACGGCTCATTGAATTTATGTTGACGTATCCACAAATACCCTACTTTCACAGTTTATTTTATCGTTTTTACTAGCCATAATTTATACTCAGGGTTTTTCCAAAAACTGTGAATTATTGCACATTTAATATTCAATGTGAAAATAACTGGTCAGCTGATTTTGGTTTGAAAGTGGACATTAACTCTTATTTACCAGCAACTCACAGTTTAGTAATATGTCACCTGTTATTAACTAAGCTTTTACATTTGAGCAAATTAAAACTTTTAATGGCAAAAATAGCCAAAGATGTTGCTGAACTGGAGAATTTTCCCAGATCAGCTATCTTAGCCTAATTATTACATTTTGAGTTAACTTCAATACAGTTTGGGGTTGCCAAGATTTCAGGTGATTTTTATTTTTTTATTTTTTTTTATTACAGGTTTCCTTGAAGCTCTGCGGTACTTATTAAAGTGTACACTGTCAAGATCACTTGAATGGTCACAACCATTCACACTTTAATGTATAAACCACACCTACAATAGTACAAGCTATGCCTGGGAATAAAACGTCTGTGTTACGCCCACATTAACCTCAGGAATGCTCCTAGCGTCTATATCCCTTTTTATGGTTATTTTCCACAGTGAGGTGTTTTAAACTTGTGGGTGGGGCATTTTGAAACTATGGTGATTGCTGCTTGTATTGAGTGTATCACTGCATATCTAAAAACGGTAAAAT